CAGCTGTGGTCATTTTGATTAGCTCAGCATGAAAAGAGTTTTCCTGGAGCATTTCAGTCCTTGGTAGTGCAACTGAAGCAAACAATCAACTATGGGTGGCAAGGCACTGTCAAAAGATCTCCGGGAGAAAGTTGTGGACAGGCACAAGTCAGGCGGTTAGGACGATTCCAAGTGTCTGACGAAGGAGAGGGGGCCTGGAACGCTCCCCTGTGTATGGGAGGGTTGCAAGAAAAAATAATATCCTGTTATGGGGGTGTTTCTCTGCAGCAGGGACTGGAGCACTTTTCAGGATAGAAGGAAATATGGATGAGGCAAAATATCGTCAAATTCTTGAGGAAAATCTGCTGCCCTCTGCCAGAAAGTTGACATGACAACATGACAATGACCCAAAGCACACAGCAAAACTGAGCACATAGTGGTTGAAGGAGAAAAAAGTGAATGTCCTTGTCCACCAGTAAGTAAAGTATGACCCAGCTTTAACTGGAGAACCACTCTGGGTACATGAGAACGCTGAAGCGATGTAACACTGATGGAATAAGCCTGACGCAACAGTACGGTGGAAAATAAATACTTTAGAACAGAGTCCTCTATGAAGTCTGGGGAATGATTAATAAAATATAATTAAAGCTCTGACAGCAGCAGAATATTTCAAGATAACCTCTGTTGTCATGTTTCAGAGGAACACCACAGGTAGGGCGCAGCTCTGGATCTCAGCTGGTGGGTCATAACCCCAAAACAAACCACATATCTGGGGGGGGGGACTATTCTAAATGCAAATAACATGCAGCTAATCATATTATCATGCAAATCTAAGATGACAGTTTTTTCTTTCTATCTATCTATCTATATATATATATATATATATATATATATATACATTACCATTCAAAAGTTTGGAGTTGGTAAGATTTTTAAATGTTTTTGAAAGAAGTCTCTTATGCTCACCAAAGCTGGATTGAAATCTTTTGTAACATTATAAATGTCTTGACTGTCAATTTAGATCAATTTAATGCATCCTTGCTGAATAAGAATTTTTTTTAACAGTAGTTTAACAGTTCATATAGAATTCATAGGTAGACACAAACAATTCCTATATATTTTAGTCACCGCTTTTCCAATGTCAAATGTTGGTCCTAAAGCAAAATCATGTGAGGAGCACTGCTGCGGGGAACTGTCCCGTCCTCTGCTGACATACACCAGGAATAGTGAAGGCACACAGGAAGTGACTCTCTACCAGCACTGGCTGGAACTGGATATATAACAGGAAAAACGTCCTTCATAATGGGAAGGTTGATTCATCCTACTTCACACGCAGATGATAGATGGGGCCGTCTCAATGATGCTTTCCCCTCACAGGGGGAATGAGCCACTCTTGTGACTAGATTAATTTAGACAGATAACAACACAAGATCAAACGCTCCATGTCTAAAAACAACAAAAGGACACATATCACTTAAATTAGCAGTGAAAGGAGTCATCACACTGAGTGTACGCTAACAGTTTTTCTGGTTTAATCCTGTAATATATGAAAGCAGCTAGAGTCCTTTCACCTTAAATGCAAGTATTAAAAATGATTCATTTTCATGAATTGAAATAAAGCTGAAATAAAATATTAGAAATCTGGAACCAAAGCTGAAGTACTAAAATTATTCAAATTAAAACTTAAATTTATTAAAGTTAAATAGAAAAAAGAAAAAAAAAAATAATAATAATAAAATGACAAATTCACAAAAAGTATTAAAACTTAAATTAAAAACTGAATATATAAAAAATTATATAAAAAGCTAATTCAAAATATTAATAAATACTATAATAGTACAGAAAATAATACTACAATTTTGATTCTGTAAGATATTTTAGCTATATAATATATAACTAATCAGCATTTTTGTGTACTTAAACACTTTTGGTATTTCATGAACTCAAAGTATTTTATATATTTCAAAGCTATAAAGGTATATACAAATATATAAAGTCATATTTCACACATTTATCTCTATAATAACAGCAGGCAGTGTGGAAACCTGAAAAACAAGTTTATTGCCAGGCATTCAGCATGTGGTCATATAACAGTGTTTTTGGTCAAGAGGGGTTCTGAATACCCAACATAGTGACCCAACAACTGTTTTCAACTGATAATAATAAGAAAGTTTCTTGAGCATCAAATCAGCATATTAAAATGATTTCTGCAGGATCATGTGACACTGAACACTGGAGTAATGACTGCTGAAAATTCAGCTTTGCCTTCACAGGAATAAATTACATTTTTAAATATATTCAAATAGAAAAGTGTTATTTTAAATTGTAATAATATTTCATGCTATTACTGTTTTGAATAAATACAGCATTCTCTAATGCTGTATTAATTAAAAACAGTATATCATAAGAGACATTCAATGATTCTTTCAAAAACATTCAAATGTTAACATTCTTAAAAACATTAAAAAAAACTTTTCAATCATAGGATATGCAATAATTTCAATGATTCTGATTAGCTACATAAATCAGCAGCATTTTTTAAATGTTATATCAAATAATTTCACAGTGCAGATGCAGTTGCTGCTATGGAGGTGTTTGTGGCTATTTAATGTTTTGGTAAAATATAACTAAAAGGTGCCTGTCACGTTACTTTATGCAGACATTTATTACAGTTTATAAAAAGTCAGGGTTAGAGTAATGTCTATTACATATCTCCCTGATCATTCAAAGAGTGAGCGATCTGGCCTCTGTAAATATTGAGTTGTCAAACTCCGACGGTGCCAGCCAAGGTCATGAGCACCTGTCTCAGCCAAGTGGGGCTGGCATGGGCTCTGCTTCATCTTTTCCAAAATCACCACACAGCACTCCATCACAATCCTGAGACTACACTAAACCCACAGGGATCCTCAAAGCCAAACACTGCTATCACCCAAATCAAATCAGCTGAATACCATTCCAGAAAACCACAATCAACACACAAATGTCACTACTGTAACATTATCCAGACAATGCACCACCGTTCAGACCCTCAACGATGCCTCTCATTCCTGTTATTCAGAAAAACAAGCATCATACCAATAAAAAGGCTTATATAATATTGCAAATTTAAAACCCTTTGAAGTTGAGTCCTGCACAGCCACCGGTAAATTGTCCTCCACTGCGTCTTACCTGCCAGAATATGCTGTCGATTGTGTTTCCAAGGAAACCTTCCCGTGTTTCAGAGGACAGGAGCTTCGGTCCGAGTATCGTCATGAACTCATCAAAGTCCACCTGTCCATCACCTGAAAAACAAATTAAAGTCAGAATCCCGCTCGCAAATCCCAAAAGCTAGATTTGAAATTAAGGGCATCATTTTATGACTGGAGGCATTAAAGGTGAGGTGTATCATATCTGAGCCACTAGAGGCAGAATTGTAGATCCCACCTTCTCGCACGGCATGATTGGTCGATTATGTACAACACCTGCACACTATTGGCCAAACTACTATACAGTTATTACCTTCAGCAAGCATGAAAACAATCGGAAAACAAAGCCAAAACAGACATTTTAGGCAATTTAGAAATCTACCAGGACATGTACGTGAAAAAGTGGACATATGGTCATTTTATCATTAATATCATTGATTTAACAAGCATCAGTATTAATTATTTACAAAAATGAATGCTAAACACCTTTACTGCCGATCTTACGCTGTTCGTTGAAACCCAATCTCACAGCAATTCACAATTTATTAGGAGGCTAATTCGTATGACCTCACTTGTATGAATTCGTACGAGTGAGGTCATACGAATTAGCCTCCTAATATTCTAGTATTCTACGAGGTGGTAAATTCGTAGGAATTCGTCCGAAAGACCACCCCTAAACCTACCCCTCACAGAAATCATACAAAATCATATGAGTGAGGTCGTATGACTTAGCCCCCTCCTCATAAAATACGTATGAATTGGTCATGAGATAGCGTTGGCCAAACAGGAAGACTCAATCATTGGTCTGAAATGAACATGTCAGACTGTTGAAAACACCACAGAGCCACACTGGGATATGATGAAGTATTTTAACATTGAAACACACTCACTTCACCTTTAAGAGAGTAATGATAGCACACATCACAGTTAAACACACTAACACGTCAGCTGTTCTGAGCAATCAGTATAAAAATAAACAGTGCTTACAAAAAGTGCATGAATGAGTGCGACCTGTGCTTGCAAAACTACTTATTGGCTTCCTCAGACAGTGTAGCGCTCCTGAAGATGTGACAAACTTCAGCTGAACTCTGAACATTGATGTGGATCATCAAGCGCTTCTGCACATCCGATTATATCTGCTGGCCAAATTCATCTGTTATTTGGCAGTTCGGCCCACAGCAGATGACTATGGCCAGGGATCATGGCTCTTGAATGTACATATGTGCTGACAGTGATGAAGGTCAATTAGAGTCATTCAGTTTTTATTATTTAATTTTAAATGACAGTCCATCACACTATCTAATGAACTTCATAAGCAGCCGTTTGAATAGTAAAGAAGGTCAAAACCTTAATAACAATAAGGGAAAGTAAAATACTTTGATATCAGGCAGCAGTGTAACAATTTTTGTCTCTGCATTTTCTATTCTCTCCTGTTATGTTGTGATATTTCCCCTTCAAAAATAAAGGATTGTTCATTCTTAAAGAGATAGTTCATCCAAAAATGAAAACCCTATCATAACTGAATCACACTCCAAGTTGTTCCAAACCTGTATGAGTTTCTTTCAGCTGTTGAACACAAAAGAAGATATTTCAAAGAATGTTGGTTTGTTTGGTGAATGTATGAGGACATAATTTTCATTTTTGGGTGAACTATCCCTTAAATCATAATCATAATGATTAGTATTTATTATGTTTACACCTAAATTACAGCTAAAAGCTCAATAATCCAACAATGTTCTGGAAAATTGGAATATGAATATTTTTTAAAAATATTTTAGCACAAATAGCTTTAGCCATTTACTTTATGACAAAAAATATGTTTCTTTGTATTCATAACCAAGAGGGCATGCATTTTATTTTATTCAACAAACTCTCAAACAGTAAATCTATCACTAATGTTCATGCTCATGCTGTTTCATATTATAGATTTATGGCTTTAGGTTCAAAGTAAAAGAGTCTAGTTCTCTGATCATGACAAAACGTCCTCAGACGACTAGGCAAAAGCCCTTGCTAAAAAAAAAAAACTTTAAAAATGTGATGAAAATTTTATTAAAACAGAATTTAGCTGTCATAGAAAATTAATGTGGGGCCCCTAATCTAAAGTGAACAGCCTGAAATCAAAGGTAATGTCCAGTTACTGTTTTATGACCATATGGTAATGAAGCAGGAAAACATTACTGCTTTATTAATTCATTTCCACTAAAACTCCTCGTACAAAAAAAAGAGTCTTCTCTACAGATTTACTGCAAAATATGTCAGGCCTGAAAGCCTGTTGATTAGTTCTGCTGGCTTAGAGGAGATGAAACTGAAGCAAATTGCTTTGAGAATAAAAACCCAGCAGTGTCTGCAATCGACAGACTTTCATATAGTAGCTGAATCTTTATGAATATGAGTTACAATCAGAGCATCACACACAAATAAATGCTCCTGTCCAACTCAATGAAATTGTCAGATCAAACATAAAAAATTCTTCACATTTGGGTTATATTCCCACACATAACCAAGAAAAAAGCTAAATAAATTATATGTGTTTTTAAAGTATTTCTAAATATAATTACTATTAAAATATAAATAATAATATAATTGAAAACATTAGGTTCTTCTGAAAGAAATTAATACATTTATTCAGTAAGGACGCTTAAATTGATCAAAAGTGACAGTAAAGACATTTACAATGTTACAAATGTTCCTATTTCAAAACAAATGCTGTTCTTTTGAACTTTCTATTCATCAAGGAAATGCTTAAATTATATCATGGTTTCCACAAAAATATGAAGCAGCGCAACTGTTGTGATGATAATAATAAGAAATGTTTCTTGAGCATTAAAGCATATTAGAAAAGTATATTAGAATGATTTCTGAAGGATCATGTGACACTGAAGACTGGAGTAATGATGCTGAAAATTCAGCTTTGCGTCACAGGAATAAATTACATTTTAAAATATATTCAAATAGAAAACAGTTATTTTAAATTGTAATAATATTTCACATTATTACTTTTTTACTCTACTTTGAATGAACTGAGAGTAACATTTCTCAGTGGGAAAACAGCTAAATAAATATGCATGCTAAATATTATCCTTGAGATATAAGGTTAGAGGATAGAAAATATCATTATTGCTGTATAAAACCAATAGACATCAATGACAATTACCACTAATGACAGGAATGCAAATGTGTGTGTTGGTGAGTAGAGGAACTCACCATCCATGTCCAATCTCTGCATGATGATTGCCAGCTCCACTTCACTGGGCATGTACCCTAGTGAGCGCATGGCCATGCCAAGCTCCTGCTTGGAGATGAACCCATTGCCATCCCGATCCAGGACCCTGAACGCCTCCCGGATCTCTGCCAAGACAAACAAGTGTGCGACTCAACACCTCAGGTGGCTTCCCGTCATAAGACATCTCACTGGTCGTCCTCCACTGAGCAATGATTGCAGTGATTTGCCACCTTCTCTGCACCTGCTATTACACCAGTGGCGACACACACTGCTGCGCTGTTTCTTTTCTCAAAATGCTTGTCAGATTCTTAATTTACTGTTCATTTTACTACTGAAAACAGTCTGAATTTTAACCAGCCACAAAAACACAACTTAAGGTCAGGCTTTTTCTTTTTATATCTGCTCTACAGAGGAGGACTCTGCCTCTGAAATGCATATACATCTCAAACAGTGGAGACGAGGAGTTGGCTCCATCAAATGCATATTTTATAAACGATTCTTCTGTGAGGAGAAAACTTGTGGCAGCAAAGGATTGGTGTTTTAAAATAGAGCTTGAGAGTCACATCTCTGAAGAGCACAACGGTTGTGCTGCATGCTCGAGCACACCGCAGTACATTGGGTAATTTTGCCTACGTATAATGCCAGTTGAAGTCAAGCAACCTGGGAATTAACACACAGGAAACAAAAGCTTTGACAACATGCTGTACTATTCTTATCCATCTAAATCAAGACTTAAAGGGATAGTTCACCTTCAGTTGCTGGTCCCCACTGACTTGCATAGTGTTTTTTTTTCCATTCTATGGAAGTCAATGAGGACCAGCAACTGAAGGTGAACTATCCCTATAAGACGGCACATTATCACAGCAACAAGTTATGCTGTTGTCAGGGTCATACATTCAATTACACATTTGATAAGAGAAAAAGCGATTTTAAAAATAATATATTATTTTTTTTATTTATTTATTTTAAATATTAACTGCTAAATTAATAACAATTAGTTTGCCTTTTCTTTTTTGACATATCCTGGACAGTGTGACTGACAGGCTACTGTTATTTTTTCTTCTATTATAATAATAATATTTTTGCAAGCCATTGAACAGCTGATTTAAACACTAAATTAGGGTTCCTAAAATTTAAAATTGAATTCCCATAATTGTTCCATGATATTTCCAGTCGTTTTTAGACTAATGAATTTTTAACATAATTTTATAGAGAATTCTGGGGCAGATTTCCATTTTAATTTCAGGTACAAATTTTTTGCCAGGGTCATTTATTCAATTATACATTTGATGAGATAAAAAGTAATTTTAAAAATAAAATTAATAACTGTTAAGAATTTAAAAAACAAACTAAAAAAATCAATATATAACAAATAATTATAGCAATCATTAAACTATCTAGAGTAGAAAAATCTCCAATAAGGAGAATAAATGCCCATTTTCTTCTTAAGAAAGACAATTTTTGAATA